GACTATTTTAGAAAAAACACCTTTTGTGTCCCATGTCTATATTTTAAAAATGTCTGTTTAGTATTGGGTTGAGAAGTAAATACTACAGGGAATTATTTCAGCATGACTTATCAACCTTTGTGGCTTCACAGGAAGAAATACAAGCTTCATTTTCAGTACTTTTTTAGGATGCTGTTTATTTGATGAAACTATTATGCTATAAAAGCTGAAAGGTTTGTGGAAGGATGATGGTCTCTGGCAATGTTTATCCACACAAATCACTTCCTTTCTTGGAATCAGAAGTGTTCTTATATAGAGCATGAAATACAAAGAGCAAGAAAAGCCAGGAGCTAAAACAAAGCACAGTATTAAATAAAGGCACTGTTGGGAGAACATGGAAAGGGAATGTTAATGTGGGTATGAGAGATTTTCAGTCTTCTTCCAATATCCACAAATCACACAGGCATTCTGCAGGAGGAGGAATATACAGCAAGTGATGTCAGGGTGGCTCTCAGAATTCCCTCATTTCAGACAGGAAGAGCTTGTTGGATAATGGGCATATACTCCTGGAGTTTGGAGAATGTATTATAAGTCGGGTGGACAAACCCCCGTGCTTGATCAACTAATGCAAACTCCTTCCCCAGGGTGTTTTGCATCTCGCTGCAAGTTCCTATTATTTCATTCAGGAGTAGAAATGCGGAACTCATTAGGCAAATGTGGATATGTTCATTTGTTGAAGAAAGGCAAGTCAGGAGTTGTGTGTGAGGTTCAATGAAACTGATTTTGTGATACAAATATTTTGTAATGTCTAGAAGGGTTTTGGATTTGTGCAGGGGTCTGCAGCTCTGTGCTGGCTATACTGAAAATACCTGATGTAGATAACTTTTCAAAAATAATCTGACTTTCAAGAGGTTGTCAAGTTCAGAGTTGATCCAGAGTTTTTTTTACCTGGATGATTACTACAAGCAGCCATTTAGGGACTTAAATTATGCTGTCTTTGTAAACTGATATTGTAAATATCTTATAATGAGGTACTTTCCCATTTCTAGTCTAAGCTATCTGTAACCAAGAGTACATCTGTATTTTTCTTTATTTTCTCCCAGTGATCAATATTTAGAAGTTAATTAATGAAGCAAACTCACTGAGTGCCAGCAGGAGTAGTTTGTGCCAGAGGCCTTTCTTGAACAGGTATTTCTGGACAGTGGGACTGAGGAGGGCAGTTCTGCCAAAGCTTTGGCACTGCTCAGGATTCTCATAAGACTCAAGATGATTCAGATAAATGTCAGAAGGAATTTTCTGGCTGCTGGAAGTAGGCAGTTGTGTAGTGCAGAGTTTTCTTTTGATATCAGCATGGTGTTAAACGGGCTCACTACCTTGCAAACTAGAACCACCAGTCAATCAGCTGAATTCAAACAGTCTGATGGTTTTCTATTTACATACAGTGAACAGCAGGAAACTTGGAGAGCTTGGCAAAAAGACCCACTGGTGCAAAGGATGGCATTTGGTTTATTATTATTTTAATTGCTAAGGGAGAGTATAACTAAAGTCCCTGGAGAAGTCTTCAAAGGAAGATAAATATTGAAAAATGTTATTTACAGCCTTTAGCGTTTCATCCATGTAAATACAAATTTAAATACAGGGGCTGATCACATCTGCTGAATATTCTCCTTCCTAGAAGCAATGCTGAAGAGTCAAACACAGCTGCCCAGAGAATGGTGGAATGCAAGGACTTGGTGCCTCCATCCGAGTGCACATCCTGATCTCGTGTTCCCGTGCTGGCAGAGCGTGACCATGGATGGGCTCCTGTCAGGCTGGGCTGGAGTCCTTAATGGGCCTTTGAAATGTGCCAGCATGAAGTGCTCAGTTTGTATTTTGCTTTGGGATGATGTTTTCTGGCTCATGGCATAGCTGCAGTCTGATAAAGTGTCTAAGGCCTGCGAGAGGATTTTCTTTGAGCTGTTGGCCATATTCCCCTCTCTCTGGTTTTGCAGCCTCCTGAGCTGATACTCTGACTGCAGTTAATCACTCTCTGATGGAGTTCACTAAAAAATATCCTCATTAGTCCAGAAGAGTTTAATAATTTTTTCCTTGGATTATTTTGAAAAACAGCTGTGCTGCTGCACTTAGGTTGAAAGGGATTTTATGATCCATATTATGCACAGCAACAGATGAGGGGAATAACTTCTTGACATAACTGTGGTCAGAGAAGATAATCTGATCCACTCTGAAGGCTTAGAAGTCATTATCTAGTGGATGAAAGGGACTCTCCTCTAAGTATTTATTAACATATGCTTGGGATACATTTAAAACACATCTATCTGATGGATAAAATTTGGGATAAAGATAATGAAAAAGAAAATCAGTTTTTATTGACAAGACTGATATTAAACATGCCAGAGGAGGTGCTTTCTATCCCATTCCAACTCTAACAACATCTGAAATGGGCTTATTTAAAGTGATTCCTTTGTCAATTGTGGTTGTTCTGAGTGCAGTCAGTGGCTTCAGTGGCTCCTCTGAGCAGTTTGTCAGGGCAGGGTGGTGTTTCCTGACTGCTTGGTTAGAATCTGCAAGATGATGATTGGAATATGTTGAATGTGAAGCTGGTAAATAACTGTGTTTTATTCCAATTTTGCCATACATGAGAAGGGAAATCTGAAGCAATGCATTTTTAATACACAAATATAATGAATGGTGTATTGTGTGTTATAGCTGTACTTGCCATTTCTCCTTGTTGATATGAAAATTAATCAGAGAAAAAAAAAATCTGCAGACTAGAAGTTTTCTCTCTCTCCATTTCTGTGTCACTGCTAAGCCTTACAAAAGCCCTCTCCTGGTTTCCATAGAAATGGCCCTTCTGCTGATTTGAGGTAAAGGTTCACTTCCCTTTCTTCTTGTATATCTAAAGTCTGAGTTTCCTGAGAGATTATTTTATTTTCGACATCCTTCATGTATATAAGGACAGCCCAGGTAGAGGGGCTGGTGGAACTGGGGAAACTTCCTCTCTCGCAAGGAAAAAATCTGGATTTGACTGAAGAGCAGAGAAAAAAAGGCATGTGTGTGTCACTTGTGCATTTGTGAATCTGAACAGAACCAGCTCTGTGTGTGCATGTTCCACAACGTGCTCTGGCTCCTAAAACGTCCCTGTGATCCCACCAGAACATCAGTGAGCGGATTTAGGAGATCCTGAGTTAAAGCCAGGCAGATGTGGTCTCAGTTTCTCATCGGGCTGAGTTTTGTATCTATTTATATACGCAAGATTTTCTGTATACACTTTGTTTGCATTAGAATACACCAATTTCTTTGAATCATATGATAGGAGATAACTAGGAAATATATTTGGGAACCACCCACAAAATGTTTACAGTGGGTAATCTTAATCTGTGTTACAGGATTTCTTCCTAGTTTTGTTTGAGACATTTACGTCTACAAAGATGTCATTCACAATTTAGTTCTGACGAGTGTTATTCTTGGAACTTCCAACAGAATTGCTTTCATGGAGTTACTCTAACAGAGTTATTTTAAAATAAATGGGGAATAGTCAGGCATATCGTCAACTTTGTTATCCAGTGTTTTGAATCCAGATGATGAGAGCTTTGACAAGTTCTGTCCATGGCGTTCAGTGCATTATCAGTGCTCACTGACACAAAGGAAAGCAGAATTTATTCTGCTGTTTCTGAGAGCAAGAGTTTGATGTTGCTGAAATAAGTGATGCATGATTTTCATAATGCTGTTTTCTGTTTCTGTTCTTTTTTCCCCTTTTTATTACCTTTGCTCCCCTTGACATTTTCAGGAATATTAAATTTTCCCAATAGAGCTGTTCACTTGTATACTAGCAAAAAGGTCATATTAAGAAATTCCAAAGACTAGTACTACTGAAGAGCTTGGGGATTTTTTTAGTGCTTTGGGTTTTCTTTCTGCTTTTTCCAGACTCATCGCTTGTCTTGAAGATACCATTGCTACCTTCTCACCTGCCAATATGGAACAGTAATTAAAGCAAACCCCACTGTGATCATGTCCTTAATTTGTGCTTTTCCAGGAGTGCCCATGAAGTGAACATTTCTTTTGTGGTTGCTCAGTTGCAGGTGACAGCTTCAAAATACCCTCTTAGCTACTTTGGGAGAGTTGTTGCCTTCAGCCCCAAAAAAGTGTCAGGGATAAAATCAATGGCCTGAGACTGCTCCTGTTTCACTTCAGATGTTTAAAGATGTCAAGTAAATTCTTTATTTGCTTTTTGGTGGTTTGTTTGTAGTAACAGTTCTGTTTCCATTCCATTTGTGCTCAAATTTTTGAGCAATAATATGTGCAGTCCTAGAAGATTGAGGTAATACTTATCTTCCAAATTATCTGGCATTTCCTAATGTGAGAAATTCTTACAGTGGAACAAATCTTGGCAGGTTTGGTATATCCTGCATCTGTAACTATTGCTTGAATACAATTCCATAGGGCAGAGATGATCTGTGTTATTTAATTAAATGCAGTATGTTGGTTTAGCAACATTATTATGTTCCTTGAGCATTTCAAAGTGTTTTAAATGGTTTTGCTGTTTTCAAAAAGTAGCATTCTTTTCAGTCCATTTAATTGTAAATATTTATTAACATCTACGGTTTCCTCTAATAATATAAATGGAACAAACCAAACACACCCAGATTGTTATATTTTCTGCAATAGTACTCTTTTATAATCAGTTCTCTTAGTTTTCTGTGTATATGTGTGATCAGACTAGAACTACCTGTACTGAATCTTCAGCTGTATCATTCTTTGTGTCAGTGTCTGAAGCAAATTACCTGCTAGCAAAGATACCGAGAGATGAATCTTAGCAGCACAAAGTCCCTGAGATTTTTTTCAATAATTAAAATATTTTGGCTATAGGTTCAGATTTCCTGCTTAGAGATCAGCGCTCTGAAGGCAGATAAATGAAAATGGTCCCTTGAAAAGTTGAGTTTCCAAGGTGAGGGATGGCAATGGTGAAGAAATCCATTCTTGCTTTTTCTTTTTTCCTGTTTTGTTTTTTTTCCTTCTGTTCATTCTGAAACCATGACTTGATGAATGTCATTAGGCTGTAATCCATTTATTCCATGTGGTGGTGGGAAGAGAGAATTTGACAGTTCATTTGGACTGAGTGAACCAGAGTCACTCTGAGCTGAGCCCCCGCTGCCATCAAACTGCGAGATTTTCTTCTTGATCATTTTTCTCTCTTTTGCACGGCGATTCTGGAACCAGATTTTCACCTGGGGTGTTATAAATGATACCTGATTAATTCAAAGTGCTGCTCAAATTTTTACAGTAATTATTGCAATGGAAAGGAAAGTACAAAAACACTATTTAAAAAACCCAAAGCAAGCAAGCAAAAAGCTATGAGGAAAAAAATCCCCAATACCAAAACCAAAAAACCCTCCACAAACCAAGATAGTGAATTTGTGCAGTGAAATGTTTTTGCATTATTCTGTATTAATTTTTGGCATAATAATCAATGGAAAAGTGATTATTTCTTGATTTATTTTTTCCTTGGGCCTAGTGTAAAGTGAACACACTGTGTTATATTTAGGAACACAAAAATCAATGCACTCACTGAGACTCAGAGGCCACAGGGTTCATCATTTCAACTTTGCTAGTGTCATAATTTAGGAAGATGCAATTATGGATTAATTGTGAAGATTTCTTTATTGTCTGTGTTACAGATTTATTCAAAGCCAAGTAGTGAGGGTTCTTTTTCTTCATTTATGTTGTGATTTTTGTGTGTGTGTATATATTCTTATATTTTTAAAAGTTTTGATTTGTTTTATTACTGGAATATATATTTAAATATGTCTTTTACAGATACATATGTACTGTTATATGTATAAATAGATATATCAGCATTATTTAAGTCAGTCAATTTCCCAGGCTTATTGTGCAGGTGAAGGACTTAACCTTTTTAAAATCCACTTTCGGTATCTCTGTTTTCTTTCCTTATGTGAATGTGTGAATGAGGAAGAACTTCCGTTTGTGTTTTCCTTCTTGCTAACTGTGTTCTTAATTCTCAGTATTTGCTAAAGCCTTTAAGGTGTGTTGAATACAATATACCTTAAAAAATCTCAATGTTTTATATTTCATTTTTATTACCTTGCTGGTATTGGCATGAAGAAGCATTTAACTTTGTCTGTCCTGTGGAAATGCAGATCAGTTATGTATTTTGTCTACATTATACTTGAAGGAACTTCACCAGTTAAAGATGGGGTGGCATTAGGAACAGCAACTCTGTAAAAGGAAACTGCTGATTTTCTGCAGGATCACTGGTGACTCCAGGCGTGTCTGTGTTCTAAATCAGCCAGCTTGCAGAACATTAATGTGGAGCTTGCAAATCTCTCATAATTACAGTTCTCTGCAAATTTTCTAGTGCAGCTCTATCCTACTATGTGACAAACTTCATCCATTATAAACTTGATGTTTTCTTGTTCCTGCCTGGGAGCACTCACAGTCTGTGCAGTGCACTCTCTGTACTATTTGGGTCTGGGACTGAACATCACCGCACTAAAATATGTTTATAAAATTCCAGTGCTTGATCCTAAAATACCATTGATTGTCTCTGCATTCCTATGTTTCCAGCCTCCACTGGTCCCTCTCTATTTCATGCTCTTCCACAGACACAGTGCAGAATCAGAGGAGGTCACTGAAGGAGGAACTTTTTAAGAGACCTGAATGTGTATACTTAGAACAAAAGCTTGTAGAATTCTAAAAAAAGAAATATCTATTTTAAATTTGCCTCAGGGCAATAATCTGATTTTCAAATGAGATGTCTAATTCAGCACCACCAAATCTGCCCTTCTCCTCCAGCTGTAGCAGAACCACTGCAGTTCTGGAGGCTTGGATCCAGCAGTTATTACATCCACACACTGCAGAGCTGTGCTTGGGAAAGGTGCTCTCCAACACAGGGATTTTGGGGAATTCTCATCCTGAATTCCTCTAGTGTCTGTATGAACACAGCTAACATAACACAGCTCTGCTCAGGAGCCTGGCTTTATCCAGAGCAGAGATTAAATATGTACTAGATATGAGTGAAGGCAGAGCTGCTCTCCAGGGAAGCACTTGAACATTCCCTGGATGGATAGTCTTGGCTACACATATGTGTGGCAAAAAGAGATCCTGACTTGAAAATCCAAGGCTGTAAAACCCCCCAGAATATGCTGAAATCTGGCAGAGGAGGAATGTGGTCTGTGGAAATAGTGGCAATATATTTGTAACAAAAAATCCCATAGATATCTCATTGGATTGAGTTTTAACTTTCCTGTCTTTCAGCTGAAATATACCAAATGCTTTGGATTTTTTTGCTGGCCATGATTTGGTGTGATTTCAAGAAGAAATAAAATTATGAATGTTGTAACTATTGGGACCATAGCTAAGATCCCACTATGCTGAAGTATTTAAATTCCAGCTGTCTAGCAAGCTAGAAGGTAAGAAAAACTACTTTTTAGAGTATAAATTAATTCTTAATGTTGAGTTCCATATAACTTGAGTTTGTCAAATGTGCCTGTTAATAACTGTGGGGTTGTGTAGTGGATTCTCTGTGTGTCAAATGCAGAGGCAGGAGGTGGCTGCTGCTGTCCCCTGTCAGTGCCTGGGCACTGTGGGCACACCTGAGGGGTTCCCTCTGTACCTGTCTTTCGGAGAGTCCCAGGTTTGCTGCGAGTTCTGACTTCCTCCTGATTGTAATGTATCTGTTGCAGTGAAATTCCTTCTCTAATTCCAGTCTCTGGTGATCTGTGTAAACAACCCGGTACTTTTCTTTTGTTCTTGTTTTACCTGGTTAGGAAAGAAAGATTATTCATATATTGAGTTGGATTTTCCATAGCAGCTTGCAAACAGGCATTTCACAGACATTAATTAAAATGAATATTGTAGAGAATATTGTATGGGATTATTTGCTGTGGTAAACAGAGGATGAACAGAGGTGCAGGATGAAGTAACAGAGTATTGGTTACCATAAGTGTCTTTCCCTCTTTATTTCCCTTTCTCTGTAAACATACATGTAAATGTGAAGGTCTTAAGTGATAAACACCCTGAAGCATCTTAAATTATTTATAGCAGTACCTAATTGGTGCTGGCTATATTAATCTCAAAGGGGTTTGTTTCATTTCAGTGCTCAGTGAAGTATTTCTGTGTCTATGAGAGCATAAATACCCGGGATTTCAAGACTGAGCTTCAGTCACAATTTGTGCAGCTGTACTGTGGCCTAATTCTTTACCTGAGGTTCTAAAGATTGTTTCTCTAGCATGAAGATGTGTGCTACTAGAAATGTTCTTCCTTTCTTGTGTGGCCATAGGATAAACTTAGAAATTCAATAATAATTTCATTTACTTTTTCTAAAAGGTCCAGTCTTGCAAGGTGCTGAATGCCTGTAGGATTTCCTGAGAGTATTCTGTGCTGGGCTTCCCTTTTGAGTTGGAGGTACTTGACAAATTGTAAGATGAAGCAATAAAATCTTGTAAAGGGATTTCAGGATCATCCTCTCTCTAAATAAAAGAAATACTCTTAGATATATTGGATAAATACCATTAAGAGAAGCATTACTAAATGTTTAGAAGGTATCTCTCATTTAATATAATTTTTAAGCAATTCTTCATGTAATAATAATCCAGAGAGATCAGTTTTCAACTTATTTGTTCTCTTTTGCACTTTCAAGAGCCAACTAGATAGTTTTCCTTTTTTCTTCTGATCTTCCCAGGTTTTTTTTGATGTGAGTTTTCTGGGACAAACTGTAGGACAAAGACTCCTTTAAAGTGGTTCCCTAAAATCCATTGAGGTGTTAAGATGAAGCACACGCCACACAAAGGAGCGACAAGGAGATCTTATCAAGAACCCCTTTCACATTCAGAAACACAAGCCAATTGGTTTGGAATTTACAAGCCCTAAACAAATGTCAGACGCTTTCATCTTAGCAGAGGAAAAAGGGACAGAAATAGATGAAGGAATATTTTTTTCCTCACTTCTCTTTAATTTTGGACAGACACCGAGGACAGACTGGGATATTTTTATCTGAAGGTAGACATAGCTGAACTACGCATAATTAGGATTATTTTCCCAAATCCTTACACTTCAACTTCCAGCGTAGAAGATTTTCCTGCCAAATTTGCAGAACCAAATCATCCAACTAAATTTACTTTTCTCTCGCTACAAATCATTGGCTTTGAAATATTTGCCCTCAGTGATAGTTCTAATGCTAACAATAGTATAGATATTCAGGTTCCTTGTAAACTGAGGGCTTAGAGGGAATCTTTGAAAACAAGTTAAAATTCAACAAGGTTATTCCGGCCTCACTATAATCAGCAAATATAACCATGATTTGAGGGGGTGGAGAAAAGGAGTAGTTTTCCCCATTCCCCTTGGTCATAAAATTCACAGAGTATTTCTTCTGAAGACAATAAAGCTGGGAGAAGGCCTCTTTATTTGCTGTGAAAATCATCACCCTTTCCGGCAATATAACTCCTGAAGAAAAGAGGGAGAAGGAAGAGACAAGACTGCATATCAAAGCAAAGTGAAGTGTTAAAAGGGTCTGTTGCCTCAATATGACAGATAGGCCTCAAAACCTCAGACAATGTAGGCCAGTGGAAAATAGATGTCACAACTAATTTACAAAGAAAAATAAATTAGCATTAAAGCAGGGGCCTGGCCTTTTTTCCTGCTTTTCTGTTTTACCTTCTGGCTGTGTTTCTGCTGTTCTGTAATCTGAATTACTTGTACATCACTTCTTGTTTAAACAAAGACATAAAATGTGTTGGCTATAGTTAAAAAAAATCCTGTGGCTGAGCTTGTAACATATGAAAATCGTGTTGATCTTTTGTTTAGTCCTGTTGCAGTCCCTTCTCTTTCTGAGAAGGGTCACTCCCAGATCAAGTTTCATATGAAGTTTAAAACCTTTTTCTGGGCCCCTTAGATACCTTTTCAGTAAGTTTTACACTTGGAAGGTTCTTTTGCTCTCAGAAAATATACCTCTTACCCTGTTGGTTATACAGGGTTTAGAAAATAATCGGAAGTTCTGCTTCAGCATAACTGAAGTCAGTGGCAGATTTTATCATAGATTTTCAGTAAAACCAGGATCAGACTGTCAGGAATTCTTTAGATGTTCTTTTCCTCACTTGGAGGGTCTGACTGGGAAGATCTCTTTACCAAGCCCACTTTCAATGTTTGGTTTTTAAAAATTTCTTATTGCCTTGTATATTTGCAGTGTTTGTGTGTTTGAAGTCAAACAAGGGCTGGTTCTGCATATGCAGTTACAGTCTTTTAGTCACAGGATATATAATTTCAAATCACGTTTTATCTGTTGAAAGGACAGAGTACTTCTGTCTTTGTGATCTCGTTTCATCCTGAAGATTGACTTGATCAGGTAAATTTTCATTTCACTTTACCTGCAGTTGAATTTTTTTTGTTATCAAATGCTAAATAAGGATATTGAATCAGAATATAGTGTATTTAATAGAGTCTAAACAGAGAGGAGACAATTCCCACTGACATCCCCTCACTCAAAAGAATTCCCACTGTCTTTAGGACAGTATTTCAGGAGGCTCCCTCATCAGATGTGTTGTGGTTTGTTACTCCATCCTGCTCACGTACACTGATGTGTGTCCACACTGGTGGAGTTAAGGACATACACATTTATGCATAGAAAAGTCTTTGTAGAGTTTAGGGCTGTAATTCTGGCATTTTAAGGCAACAAACTTTATTAAGCAGGGATAAAATTGAAGGAGAGGAAGCAGTAGCTACTTTGATAACCCAAATAATATTATGGCAGTAAGGAAAAACAGCAAGTGTGTTTCAAAGAGGGGTTATAATGGCATCAAGTCAATTTTCTTCTAGAGAAAACATTGATAAGGTGGTACAAAGCAGTTACATGCATAATTTTAGCCTTTTAATTTGTTTGAATTTTCTTCAATTTATCACAATTTTTTCTGTGTTAATTCTGGATTAAAATTTTAAATTAAATTAAAATGAAAATCTGTTTACAAAAAAAAACCACCAATGAAAAGCCAAATCTCTTTGGTACTTTTCTTGTTTTGCACAATTACCACATTTGTGCTTTACTCTCACATTGCCTGTTTTTTAAGGTGGGTTGATGCCTTGAGCTCTCTTCTGTGAAGTCCTGGCTGTTCTTAACACTTCAAAGGATTGGGTTCTAGGAATGCACAGCCTCAGGACATGCAGCTATTGATGGGCTCTGTTCCACCTGTCCCGAATGGTTCATAAAGTATTGCAGAATGTCTGTAAATCCTGTGTAAGCACTTTTCAGACTAGAGATAAATTTAGCCCCAAACTGTCTCTGAATTGCAAATCTATTTTATCAATTTGGATAAACGCATGAAAAACCTTTCAGGGTCTTCCAAGACTGTTAAATAAGTATAAAGCAAGGATTTAGATTTTCAAGTGTGTTAGATTTTAACAATGTCATTCTTCAAGAATGCCAGACATTGAAAATTCAGTTCTAACATGACACAGCCAGGGCTGCCTCATTGACATTCAGTAGTCTCAGCTGAATTTGATCTACACTCAAGTCTTGCATCACTTCTCCACCTGGCAATCTCCAATGATGTTAATGAAGTTACTGGGATTTCCATGAGTATACAGAAGGGGGGAAGCAGACTCAATCTGCCTGACTTTGAAGGCCTTTGTCGAGGCTCCAAGTGGCAGGAGAGCATTGTGATATCCTCATGTTCACCAGGCATTTTATATTTAGTAACAGAGGCAAAACAATGTGTGCCTGCTTTATAATTAAGAAACAATTACCAGGCTAATTTTGCTCCTGAGTAATAACCATTTGAAGGAGGATTGTGTCTGAAGCAGCAGTGCAGATTTTCTGTGTCTTCTAAGATTACCCCAATTGTAATTGCTCTGCTTTCTTTCCAGCATTTCTTTGATGCTCCCTAACACACACTTACTACTTTTAACCTTAACAACAGATTTAGCAAACCTTGCTACACCCAGTTTCCACCTTGGGAATATACATGGAAAGGTTCATCTGGCAGGCAGCTTGTGGCAAGAACAGGCGAATCAGTGAGTGGCACTTGCAGGAAAGAGATTTTTAATTGTGTGATTGTGGAAGCTGAAAAATTCTGTCATGTAAGGAAAGTAAAACTGATATGAAATTAAATGAAAAGGAAGCTTAACCAAGGAGTTATGTGATCTGCAAACAAAATAGTCTATGCTGATTGTTTGAGTCAGATTGCTTCTCTAGGAGTATTTGTGCTCACCTAATAAATCTGGGCAGAAAAATATGAGACACAGGAAAATTGCAGAAAATTACATAATCACTGCAGTTATATCAGAGCATGTAGTTTTCTTTATAATTATTGAGAAGTCTGTAAGGTTTAAAAAGATCAACCTGATTCTATATTGACATCTCCCCTGCAGCACAAAATAACAGTGTGGTATTTCTGTCTGTAACTGTTAAATGCTGCTGCATTGCTCATAACACTTTGATGATTATCATATTTATCACACAAAATACTTTACAGAATGTTCCAACAGGGAATCCTGGAGCTGAGCTCCAGCCATGTCTGACCACATCATCCATTCCACTACAGCAACCACATAAAGCCTTTATGGGAGAAAGTGAAACTAGCACAAATTTAGTTAAAACTGCATTAAACAGCAGTAGGTTAAATAAATGTCATAAATGACCCACCAACCTATGTGCTTCAAGTAAAGTTAATTATTTCTAAGCTCAGTGATAGCAGAAGATGCTTTCTGAGGCTGGAAGTTGAATTTGCACTCACCAGCAGCGTTGGTTTGCACCGTTTTCCTCATCCACTCATAAGAGCTGTGCCTTTGGCTGTTGGGAGAGATTTGCTGGGCATTAATTGTATCTACAGGCGGTAACCCCGCAGCAGCAGCAGCAGCAGTGGGGTGCAGGGAGCTGTAATCAGCAGAGCTGTAGGAGCCCTGCCCGGGGGACGAGCCATTGATGTGGGCAGCGGGCACGGCGCTGGAAGGGCCTGGGCCATAGGCGCTCCAGTCCTCGCGCTGGGGGCCGTAGTGGGAGCCCCAGGCCGGTGCTGGCTGCCCGTGGGTGTCCAGGGCTGGCACAGGGTGGTATCCCATGTAGTCAGAGTAGGCTGGAGCAGACACGAAGTTTTGCATGGGCAGGTTGTTGCTGGCCCTGGCAGATCCTGGGTACATGCTGGGCTCCTTCTCCAAGAGCGAGCTCACGTACATGGCTGTCCCGGACTGTAAACACGGCGTCACAACATCTTGTTCCTCGATGTCTTCTTTTACTGCCCAAAAAATATTTGTGTTTGTTTTTCTCTAATAATGCCACTCTGCTTGGAATCTCCTACTTCATCCTCTTTTATTATCAACTGTGTTACCAGGTGCTGGTGGTAATGGTTTACCAAGATCTTGTCTGACGTCAGCCCAACTGCCTGCCTCATAATTACATTTACATTCAAATGAAGGGCTGACCAACCCCACCTTGCTGCTGGTTCTGGTGCTTTCTCTTTCAGAGAACTTTTATCTATCCTATTATCCTGCCCTGATATTCCACAGTGATCCCAGTCCTGTAAGATGATGCAACAGTTGCTTGGATTTATAACTTAAAGAGTTAAGTAAATAGATCTTTCTAAAAGAAATTAGAATGTAACTGTAATAGCAATGTTTAGCATTCTTCTTGTCTGAAACCTTTATTTTGTCAGGTATTATCAATCGACAAATAAATCTGTTACCCTCTTAATTTCTCATATAATTAAAGTAATCTCCTTTTTAGTCTTTAACGGATACAGTTAATTTGAATAATTGTAATTCAATAACTTCAAAATATGGAGCACCTTGTTAACAGCATGTCTTGAGTATAACTGTTTCAAAAATGTTCCTCTCATTGTTGATGTTCGTAGGAGGTTTTCCAGAGTAAGAGTTTAAAGCTCTCACTGTAAGACACATGTTCACACTCTCCCCATACAGAGTGATTTAAGAGATCCCTTCATCTGGTGGCTGTTGCAAACTGATAAATTTTAAAAAGCAGACAATAAATCTTCCTAACAAAGATGGTGCCAGAAGTACAAAGAAAATGACTGTAAAAAGTAGTGAAAAAAGTCTTTGATTAGGCCCAGGAATATTGTTGGCTTCTGTTTCAAGCCAGCCTTTATCTGCCTGAAGGTTCCTTCCTCTGAGGCTGTTGGCTGTAGTCTGCTTTCCTTGGCAGCTTGGGCCAGGGAAATCAGCAGGGAGAGACATCTGGGTTGTTAAGTTTGTGGATCAGAAGTGCCCTGATGCTGCTCTGTGGCACACGGGTGCTCCCTGGGTCCGTGTTCTTCGTGTCCCTCTGAGAAAAATGATTCTGAAAGTGGCTTTATATCCTGTTACTAACAGCTTCTTATTAACAGGAGAACTAAACCACACCCTAGGACTTTAGAATTGCCTCTCTGGGTTGTGTAGCTGCAATTTGTGGAGTGAATTCGCTGTATTTTTATTTTGGATGGGTTTCTTTGCAATGAGCTATTTGTAAGGGCTATGCTTGCAAAAGAGGTGCAAATTACAATGAGTTGTTTCCCTTTTCAGAGGTGTGGGTTTTCATTCAGTATCCTTTGTATTTTGACACTGCTCTGTATTCACACATCCCTTCTAATTCCAGCACTAAAGGATTCTAACTGTGTACTTACAGACAGGAAAGATTTTACTCTTCTCTTTAGGACTGGACTTTTCTTGGGGAAAGAATTTGTACTGAGAAGTGTAGCAAAATCTTTGTAATTAATTTTGGTATATTTACAGAATTCTACTTTTAAGCATTGGGATTCTCAGAATGTTGAGGCAAGTTGCATGGGATAGGGCATGGAAAAAAAGAATATCTTCTGTAATTGGTGTACTCTTATAAAAATAGACATTAAAAATAAATGGAAAGAGATTCCTATTCCCTTTATCTTGAAAGACACGGAATTATAACACAATTTTTGAGATCCAGGAGACTTTTTAGTACTGAATGTCATCAGAATTAAAGAGCGTGTGTTTCCTACATCCTTGGAATATTTATCCTGTTTGTGAGTATTATCCCCCAGTTAAATTCCCCAGTATTGTCAAGGGTTGTGCAGAGCTGTCAGTCACAGGCAGAGTCATAGGAAGGGAAGGTTTGGGCTCCATTGACTGCATCTGCATCCACTGATAGGGTCTCCATGAACATTGGCTGCTCAGAGATTTCAGCTCAGCCCCGTTGTTTGATTTCCCCCAAACACCATTTTCACATCCCTGTGAATGGTGTAATGTCATATTCTGCAGTAGATGATGGGAACATTTTTAATCCCTGGGGTTCCTCTTGCTTTATGGGATGTCTCTGCACGTACCATCACCATTTCAGTATCACTTAATCCTATTTTTTGTATCTCAAAGCGTTATCCTTTATTCTCTGTTCTTCTTTTATCTTTTGTTTATGCTCCTCCTTTCCCTTTCTTGTTTTGCCTGTTCCATTATCTGAATTTTCTTCAGATCTATTTCGATTCTTTCCAGAACATAATTAGATCAAGATACTCTGATGGCAATTTGCTACACTGATTTGATATCAGCTAACAATAGTAAGCTTTGAATAAGGCATTTTGTTTAAAAAGATTTACATAGCAGGATAAGATTCCTCGGGAGGACTGCAGATTTTTAACACCAAAGTGAGAATAAGATAACTGAAATGGCAATGTTCAAATGATCTGCATCCTGGGTCTGATATCTCCTATTTTGTGTAACGGAACAGGGTGGAGATATTAAAAAGGAGCTGTACCTTTCTTTGCACGTTGTCTTGTAGTTTGAGGCTACCAAAATTTTAGGGCATCTCTGTTTTCTGAGAGCTGACTGACTGTTAATCCTAGTCTGCCTTTCCAAGGATCATTTCTTGGCCATGCTCAGCTCCTTCCTGCTCAGGCCCAGCATGTCAGCAGCTTCAGAGCCAGAGAACCACTGAACCTTCAGTGCAGTAACTTAGGCTGCAGTTCCATGGGCATTTCTGGTGGGCATGGCTTTCAGGGAATACAAAAGAGAAGGGAAAAAGAACTGGAATTGCCTTGGACTGTGTGGGGGATGGCAGTGGGTGGAGTAAGGGTTTGGTGTGCTCCTGTGTAAAGTGCTGGTGGAACATGGGCCCTCTTTGGACTCTCTGGGGTGGTGGGGAAGTGAAAACAGTTCTGAGGCAATGAGCTGGATGTCCAGAAATCTCGGCTTTGTGGAGATTGTTTGTATTTGCACCATTTTCTGTGGTGGATAAAGGCAGAACAGGGCAGATCTGTGTGGCACCAACAGCAGCAGTGATGTGCTCCTTGGCAGAATTCAGAGAGATGGATTGCCAGGAGAACTGAACTCCAAGGTTGTTTTCATTCTTCACCTGTTCAAACGCCAGGTGTAATTTATCTACTAAACCAGCGGCCATGGGAGTTGTCTCAGTAGTTGTTAAAGTTTTATGTGTGTTAAATCAAATGTACTTTGAGATTTTTGGGGAAGAAAATCTTCCAGTTTTCTAACAAGTGGTTGATGAAAAACTATCAATAATATCAAGTGTGGTGCTCACCATTGGGACTCTAAGGGTTTTGTTTGTACAGGCAGTGGAGATGGTGCACTATTGTATATGAGCTGTTCTAGAGAGCAATTCCACCCCAGTAATAATAACATAATCACAAACGTGCAATTAAGTGTTTTAATGACAGCTATTAAAACTGCAATTTCAGGGCTACTGGTACTTTAAAACTTGCCTGTAGAACGATAACTTACATTAAAGGTGTTTACAACTCTGATAGTTTTTATTAGGAACCCTTACTCATAGAATTACTCTTCCTTTTTATATGGAGATAAGAAGACAATAATCTGCCTGTCTTTGAAGCGTGAAGATGATGTGAAATCTCTTGTTTTGGAGAATCAAAAAGCAGGTGAGCTGAATGTGCCCCTTTGTGGCTCAGGTGATAGGAACAGATGTTTGTTTTCTTGCTTCCAGATGACCACTCCAGTAACACTGCAGGCTTAGGAATGCTCCTTGCCCATTCTTTTAGAGCTGCATGCTTGGAATTTCATGCTCAGGACTTTGTTAAGGAACTCTGTATTGCTGATTGTTCTAATGCGGTTTTTTTGGAGGTGTTACTGACCCTATATTCAAGCTGGGTTTGCATGCACATTCATTCCTCCTAAAATTCATAGGCAGCTGTAGGAATACTGAGGAAAGGTCAGTCATGACAAGGTTTGCTGTCAGCTGAGGGCAGTTCTGTTGGGAAAAACCCAACTAGTGATGAAGGAAGGCAGATGGGTTTAAAATCTTAAAACACAGCTAAAGAGGTGGCTTTTGCTTTTTCTGAAGCTTTGACAAACACAAAGCTTCTGAAAAATTTATTTGCCCTTTTTCATTGGGCTTTTTTAATATACAGAATCCTACTTAGGTCTCATTTTGAGGGCTTGAAATGCAAGCATGTGCACATGGCAGATGTGGCAGAGCCCAGAGAGCTGAATGAGCAGTGCTGACTGAGCTGTTCTCACTTGCTCAGCTGAATCTTCTGGGGAAAAGGAAGAAGGGGTATAGCACAATTTCAGTTCTGCCCTGTGTCTCTGATCCCTGCTGGGGATTTGTTTTCCATAAGAGAGCAACAGAAGAAATAAAGGTGCCAGCTGTCTGTGAAGCCTTCCTCAGTAGTAATGGGTTTAATTTCATGCTCTGAAGTTTTGGTTGTTAACAAATCCTTTTGAAAAATGATGAAAAGTGGCTGGTAGAGAGCTGATTGTATTTACCCTTCTGTCTACCCCACTTCTGTGTCTCTAACTGCTGCTAACAGCTTATCATTCATTTCTGAATGTTAAAATGTGTTTTATTAATATATTTAATGGATAAACTGCATCAGTTTTGCGAGGAAGAAATTGTCTGAAGCTAAAGGAGGCTCTTAATATTCTGAAATCAAAATAATTTAACTTCTGTTTCAAAATCAATACTGACAGAGATAAGATCACTCCTTATTGCTCCACAAGCAGCTTGAATTCAGCAGGACATACAGAGCCTGTGTGTGAACCCCAGGGTAAATCAATTCTTTAGCAGAACCATGAAAATGACCAGCAAATCCTCGTTTTGCCATTGATTTGGTTCCTTCCTGAGCAGTTCAGAGCTCCTGGGTACTGAGCTGATCCCTCCTGCCCAGGTGTGGCTGGGTGGGCTGTTGGGTGCTCCCTGTGAATCCTTCAGGCATCATTTGGTGTGAGGTTTCTTGCAGGAGGTAACAAAGGAATCAATTTTTTTTCTGCTGCTGGCAGCCTGGCATTTCTACCCCACACATTTAACTCTGGGATTATTGTCCATGTCAAATTTCTCCTGCCTTAGAGGGACTCTCTTGTGGCTTAGATGACCAAAAGCATCCAGGTGTATCTTAATTAATCCTCTCCATTTACTGTGAGACATTTAAGAATAGGCTTATTTTTCAGAGAATTGAAAGAATCTGTGCTCTTTGGATATGAAAACAGCTGGCAAACATTTTCATCCCAAAACCCGTGCCTATTTCTTTACCTGGTGAGTTTTGCACAGTATTGTGTCCAACTAACATGCAGTGCCATCTGAAATGTGACTGTGAGTCATTTTCAGGGATGTGTCATTTCAGTGCCCCTGGACTGCCTCAGCAAACCAAACAAGGAAGCTAAAGCAGAAATCTGCTTTTTAATTTTTATGGTAAAATCCACAATTAATATATTTTTGAATCTCCTCCTTGGGGAGAAGGTGACACATACTTGATGTTATCTCCTCTGTCCCTTAAGGATTGCTTAACCCCTAAGCAAGAACTGAAGATTTTGTTTTAGAAATATCATTTTGAATTGTATATTTTGCTTAGTTTCAAGAAGATTTGGTAGAAGGTGCTTAATTGTTTACTTGATTTTTTGGTACCATCTAGATCACAATTCTAGCTGGGAAACAGTGTTTAAAGTTTAGTAAATTCCTCTGAAAATTGGATATTCCTTGATAGTTCTTTTAATCACAATTAGGATTAAGGGCTTAGATATTCCTGTGATGTAGCCTAAGGTATGCTTTTCTTCTTCAAGGCACTTCCCTAACAACCAATCAATCTTCACAGTACTCTGCTTTAGTGTCCTGAGTTTTCAGATGTGATAAAAGTGATGAGTTATTTGATACACCCAAAGTCAGGAAGAAAGTGAATATTAGCCTGAGGATGGCACCAGCAGTTCATAACCCGCAGTGCTGCACCCAAATAATTTCAGCTGATTTGTCTGCAGTTTTCTGTCTCTTATTTTTATTTGGACAGAGTGCAGCAAGTTAACAGCACAGCACAAGCTGCTTAGAGAAAAATCACTTCCTTTGGGGTTTGGTGGGCAACTGTTTAAAGGATTAGAGCCCATTGGAAATACTTAACCAGAGAGATTGCTGGGAATTCTTACCAAAAAATCGAACTACTTTAAACAGCCACTGGCATAACTAGAAGGTTAATAATCTCTAAGCTATTGCCCTGGTTTATAGATACTGCTTTTGGAGCAATAAATTTTAACCTTTGAACATGTTCTTCTGCAAATAAAATCCAGCCTTATTTTGTGTACTTAACAACTTCTGATTGGAAACACATAGCAACCTATAGCAAGCATGCTTTCAGCAAACTGGAGCAGAAATGAAGCAGATCTTCAAAGTGGTCACTTATCTTCCCCAATAACTCTTCTACATGTAAACAAGATAAACCAGGTTGCTCTGCCAGATCCCACTCTCTTTGAATGATGTTTAAATAATTTTAAAGAGAAAGAAGTTGTGTTCAGGCACATTTCTTAAAGTTCTTCCTTGAAGTACTTTTTTCCTTTTAGAAATGTTAATGCAGAGTTGAGCTGTGTCATGAAAATGTGACTAAAATAAGTAGCTGTGTACTTGATTCTGCAGAACCCTGGGGCCAGGCTTCTGATCACTTAGCTAGAACTGGGTCTCAATTTATTGTATATCAGTGCAAAAGACAAAGTTTCCCTCTGTATTCTTACCTTTTGAAAGTCTAAATCTGGATTTTTTTAATTGTTCTTTTTTTTCTAGTCTGCAAGCACAATCCCATTTAATTGGTCAATGTGGGGATGCTTTTCCTGTTGAAGCTTTTCCAGTTTCTGTTAAGTGAAATATCTGTGCATATGTGAATAAAATATCTTAACATTTCCCTCTGCCAGCACAGTGGCTGTGCTATGTATTTCCAGTGGATTCCTCTTTTGGGTAGATCCAATGGCTCTTTATTGGGAGAGCAGTTTGGCTGCAATGCTCATTGATGAGGATGGGAAATCCCTTTTGTTCCCGTGTGCTCTTTGTCATGTTCCTCTTTTCCTACCATGTGGAGATCAATTGGAGACTTTCTGTTGCTGAACTTTGAGTTGCAGCTCCTTCCTCTCCCCTCTGCTAGCCGTGCTGTTGGCAGCAAACAGAGCACCACTGGGACAGGAATGAGTGGGAATTTTACAATGCACCTTCCCCATTTCATCAAACTCTACCTTTGTTTAGCACTGTCCTTCTTGCAAACAAAATGATAAATCAAATTACTGAGGAGTGAAAGCTGCCATCTCCCTGAACCATACTGCTCTTCCCAAGCTCCTCTAATTTCTCTGAACGCTTTTACCACCACTTTTAAATTTGATATTACAATTTAAGAACAGACTAACCATGAAAATCTGGAGGTTCACTTGCTGCGGTAGCTGATACACATTGCAAAATAGTTATGAAAAAAGGCATTTATTTTAATGTTCTTTATATACAATGTCATTTCACATCACCAACATTTTGATACTCTAATAGTACTATTTGTTATAATTAAAGAACAAACCCAAGAATGTAGTGCCTAAATGACTTAATGCTCCTAAGTCTTTTTTGCAACAATGACAGTGAGATTTCAGGGGATACCTTGATGGAGATTACTGAGGATAGACATCCTAAATTTCTAAACTGCTTTGGACAATGAGACTATAAATTCCCAAATCACTCACGTGCTCTAAACATTTTCCTTTTGCAGACCAAAGTTTTGCACATGCAATTGGGAATCATATTGGGGAAATAAGTATCCAGATTATTTTTAAGTACTGATTACCTAGCAAATTCTGCTTAGTATGGAAGGGATCAGCCCTTCAGAAATTGAGACCCACTTCAAAAATACTGAGAGCTTTATTTCAAGTGAAGTATTTTGTTTGCTTTTTCTTTTATTAATTTGGTTTCTCAAATTTTAGTGGTGTCACAATAACTCATGAAACTGTACCAGATTTAAAACTGGTTGAATGCAATTATTGCATCTTTATCCATGGTCACTGCTGTCTCAGGAAATACAGCCATTTTTCCAAACATGCTTTTAAAAGGATTTCTGCCTCGCTTTGCTCTTTCTTTTGGGATCCAGAATGAATCTGACATGAATTTTCTTTGTCCAAATATGAACTTGGGCCAAGATTCACAATTCCAAAATGCTTTCAAAACATTTATAGCAAGATCAGAGAGTGCCTGTGTCTGGAGCATTGGAAATCATACCTGTCAAACCCCCCAAAATTCCAAAAAGCTCATCCCTGACCTTTGCCCTTAACGTGTAGTGAGTGCAACCACCCAGCTCCAGGCTTTCCATCAAGTGGGTCAAAACACATCAGCCAGGTTTGCATTTCTCAAGATGCGTGTGTAAAGTCCACAAGTGGGATCAATACATGGAACCTGTGTGGAGATCAAAGGAGCAGGAATATTCTCTTTCCCTGGGGGCGAGGGACACTCGGGCACAGCTGCCTCAGCAGTGTGGGATTGATTACCTGGGGCAAGTTTTGTGCTTTTTTCTTTGTGTGTCTGCAGTGGAACAAGTGGCTGTGGCCGTTCCCTCCCCGTGCCAAGCTGCTCCCAGGCCGGAGGGCTCCTCGCCTCGTGGCACAGGCATCCTCTCGCCGAGGGACTCCTGCAGTTCCATGGCCCTTGGCAGCTCGTGCTGTGCTGCACACCTGGCAGGTGGCTCTTGGTTTAGTGTCCTTGAAGCTGTGTCACGCTGGGGACCCCCCCTGGGTCCTGTAGTGCTCCGGTACCGGTCCGTGGCTCTCGCTCACTGCGAGGCCACCACCTGCTGCAGGGTTCCTCCGTGCTGCAAAGCGCTCATGGGGAGAGCAGCCGGGGCAGGCGGCGCTGGGAATAAAGAACCGGCCATTTCCGAATGAGTCTGTGCGTCAGGACCTGGCATCGGGCTCACGGAGCCAGAGTCACTCTGCAGAGAGCCCAGACCGCTGCCATCAAAGTGAGTCATTTTCTTCTTCATTAATTTTCTCTCTTTGGCTCTGCGGTTCTGGAACCAGATTTTCACCTGCAGGAGAGCAGAGGAAAATTGTTTTCAGTTGGTACCAGACTGAATGTGGTCCTTTGTGTATTTAGTCACAGAATCATAGGGAAAATCAGTGGCGTGAGGAGCACTGAGAAAGGCAATGACAAACTGAGACAACAGAGCTGTTTGCTTGTTTGTCATACAGGTAATCTTTCCTATCTAGTAATAAAATATTTATTAAAAGATTGAGGAAAAAGTGAATTTTGTTGTTAGTTCAGTTATTTCTTTATGGAATGAGCTTTGATTTATTTAATTTTTTGAAACAAAATCTAACAGAACAGAATCTCATGTGTCCTAGTGGTTGCCAAAATTATGCAAGGGTATTGTTACATTGAAAACTGTATGCCCTAGTCAGGGCAAGCCAAGATCTGCTATTGGCCTATAAATTGAGGCACAAAAGCTTTCCTGATTGGATGCTGCATGTTAATTAGTGAGTTCCAATGTGGAAGCCGGTGGAAATCCACTTCTGACCAGAATTTCACCAGCAATACACAACATTAATTCAAAATATTGTCTTAGCAGTGAAGCCGCGAGTGCCCTCTACTTCATTTGTGGTTGTAGCCAGAACCTGCTGCTGCTTCCCACACAATCCAGTGCCACCAATGTCCCTGCCCTGTCAGAGGCACACAGGAAGGAATGAAGGACCTGCTGAAGGTGGATCTTGATCGGGGTGGGACAAGTGAGGATGTGAGCTGAAGGTGAGTAATGGTCAGCTGAAAATACTGCAGAGCCTGTTGAGGTGTGCCAAGTTCTGTGGTAACTGGACTGGCTTTGGATGTGAAACCCCAGGGTTGGATTTAAAGCTGTGCTCTCCAGCTGTTTATCCTTGGAAGTGGCTCTGGATCACGTCTGGACAGTGTAATAAGTCAAGCTACCTCATTCAGGTTTGTTGTGTTTTCTTGTTCAAACAGCAAACACTTCTGTCACTGTTTTCTATAACCCAAAGGAAAAAAATCAATATTTTGCTGAGAAATATTGGTCAGTCTGGTTATTTTTTTGATGGAAACTAGAAAGGGAAAGAGAATAATGATTGGAAAGGAGGTGAAAGTGAGAGGTGATAACACTTGTGGCTACCAGGCTGTATTTTAAAAGAAAACCACTGGTGAAGCCCAACAAAACATCTTAAATACTCTCTGTGACAGTCTCAGGGTGCTTCTCCTTGTGGCATTACAATTCCATTTTACAGCTGAAGGATTCAAATACCTGCAAAGCCCATGTAAATTTAAACCAGGTCTCTTAAGTCCCAGGCTGCTATCTGAGATGTTTGGCAGTTCCTTTTGTTGTCTTAGTTCTGGAGGATCATTTCAGTACCAAATTATGTTCCATTAAACCAATCTCAAGCCCTCTCAGATCTCTTGCATTCTGACTGTGCAGAGATAATCCAGCTTTTCTCGTGCATTTACCAAAATGTATGAAAAGGTGAAACAGTCTAAAAACTCAACCAACATTTCAGAATTGCCCTCTGGCTTCAGTGTTCTTACCTGCCTGTGAATTGAGGGGCTTTTTTTGTTGTTAAACTAGGGAAGCAGATATGCAGGCAGAAATCAGTAGGCACTTCAGGGTTGTGTGCCAGTTATCAAATAAATCCGAGTAAGAACTGGTCTGTAATGTCAGTCTAAAAGCTGACAGGGCCAGTTGCATCTGTCTGACTTATTCTTTACCTGTTACCCTCCTTCCTTTCCATATTCATTTTTCCATGCAAATCTCTTCCCTTGAAGTCTGATTTTCTCTCTTCTTTCTCATCCTTGTCGTCTCCTTTATTTCTGTATCCTTCCTATGTTAACAGTGCTTCATTTTGCCTTTCTTTTCTTAATTAGATATTGCATCTTTCCTTCCTCGTTTAAACAATTGTTCTTTGTCCTTTTGAGATATTCCTTCCAGGCAATTTTGGATTTTGGCTGAAGTAGAAAAAAAAGTTTTTCCAGAAAATCAGTTGAGGTTTTAGGTGGTGTGCAGAGGAATTTGGGATAGAACAGTGTGTGTTCAGCTATGCTCATATGATAGAGTTGTCAGGTATTTCTTACTTAATCTTCCATTTTTAAAAAAACACCTCAGAGATGTAGGTTGTATAAACTGGAATTCATTTTGTTCTTGATATATTGATGATGAAGAACAAATATTGCAAAAGCTGTTGCCAAGTTTCCCCAATATATACAAAGAAATTGGTCATGTATTTTTGTTTCACCTCTTCAAATATACTAAAAAAAAAAAATCATAGGGAATTATCACTGAGCTAGGAAGTTTCAAGTAAATGTCACTGGTTGTTTACAGAAGCAGGGCCATAAGATTAAAATTCAGCATAACTAAGTCAAATGATGAATGTTTTAACAGCCAGCAAAAAGACATATAGTGTATTTTTTATACCTGGCTGAAACAATTTTAATTTTCAACAATTCAGTCCTGGCATTCAGCAGATTGATAAATTCAGCAGCAGATTGAGGAATATTTGCAAAATGGATGTTTGCTTGTCCATTTCTGTGAGCTCAGCATGTGATCCAGGTTCAAGTTGGATGGTCAGTGCTACAGCTGGGTGGGTTCTGGGCTATTCCTGCTCAGCAGAGCCCATAAAACAATGGTGAATCAGTCCTAATCATGGGATTGCATTTTGATTTATCTTCTGGGAACAGAAGTGGAATTTGGAGGGCAGGAAATGGGGCAGGAGAAAGAAGTAGCACGTATGTAGGAAATCTTTAACAAAAGGTACAAGGCAGCCAAGGACACAAAACCCTTCAAGTGTCCTGAACATACTTGAGCTCATCACTTCCATCTCCGCTAACACCAACCTTGTTGGGTTTGGTTATGGAATTCCCACTGACTTCAGCAGAACCAGGACTTCTGCTTTAGGAAGTTCAGCATGAAATTCTCCCTGCTACCACAGCCCAGAGAGAAATCCAGGCAGGATTTTGATGATGTGGTTTAACCCATGTTTCTCAGAATGGGAGAAAGTTGGTGTTTGCATTTTCTGCATTATTGCACAGCTCTAGTTTGGTTCTACTGCAAAGGAAAACCCAGTGTTTGGTTACTCGAGGCATTAACATTTCTGTGTTCTTTACCATACAGTTATCTCCTCAGCAGCAATCATAAATTCAAAGGAAAGTCTGGGTGGGTGATCCATACTCTACCTGTCTCTCGGAAAGTCTTAGGTTTGCAGCAAGTTCAGACTTCCTCCTGATTGTAATGTATCTGTTGTAATGAAACTCCTTCTCTAATTCTAATCTCTGATGATCTGTGTAAACCACTCGGTACTTCTCTCTCGTTCTTGTTTTACCTGTTTTGAAAGAAGAACACATTGCTTCAAGCTAGAATTTTTTCACCTTAGTAACACAAAATATCTGGCTTTAAGTTTGAAAATATCTGCAGGGATTTTAGGCCTGATTCTCAATGCGCTTACCCAGAGTAACTCCCTTGACTCAGTCTTGATTTACAACACAAGAGGTTCATACCATCAGATATTAGGTTTGCTCCTTAGTAAATAGATAATAAACTGCTTCTCATCTTCTTTATCACCCCTGTGTTATCATTTGTGAAAGGGAAGGCGTTCCTGGTAAGAATAAGGAGCCAGGAAATCTGGATTCTGTCCCCAGCTCTGCTGCAAGCTTCCTGCCTGGTGTTGAATTGCTCTTGTCTCTGTCCCTAGAGCTGATGCTCTTACCTGCCTCAGAAAATTGTGAAGGACATTTTACTGCACAGAAAATACTGAGAGATTCCTAAATTCCTCACTTTTTGTTGCTAGAAAAATTCCTACCATGTTGTGATTGCTACTGCAATTTGGAGTTTGTGTTGTCGAGTCTGCCACAATCTGCCCACGACCTGATAACAGCGCAGGGAACAGTGACATAGATTTTCAGATGACAGTTCATGAAACAGAGAAAAGGCAAGCAATACTACTTCACAATGGGTAGGAAACTGCAGCATCTGCTGTTTTGGGAGCAGCACTGCTGCCTCCCTTCAGCTGTGGGTGCAGCTGAGTGGAGCAGACACAGCTCAGCAGCATCCAGGGCATTAAAAGGCAATGGCAGATGACAGGAGCCAGGGAACAGAGATGCAAGGAGCTGAAATTTTATGGATTCCATACGGGGTCATTTCTGAGGACAGAATGTGTGGCTGCTCTGAAAGAAAGCTGAGAATGGGAAAGACTGCTGCTGGTTCCCTTCCTCTGTGGCTTATGCTCATATTGGGCAATAATCAATATACTGGAGATCAGCACCTGCTTAAAGCCAAAGCCTGAGCTCTTCCCACATTTTTGGGGGAACATAAACACATTGTTGTGTTGAGACCAGTGTTATCTTTGCTGACCACAATCATTTTTTGATGCTTCCTTGTTTACCTGTATTTCTATGGACATTCCTTCAGATGAGCACATTTAGCCAGTGAATTGTCTGGGACAGGGAATATATTTTCAGTATTTTTTTGGCCTGTATCTCATTGTGGTGCTGGAGGTTGTGAATCTGTGTCCTCAGCTACTGCAGCAGAAGAGCCCCCCTCAGGTTCAGGTTCTCTTGGGTGATGCAGAGAACTCAAGGTGACATCTGCAATTGCTGCAGGTGTCGTGTGCCTTTGCACAGCAGCTCCTGTTTGCTTACAGAGCTTTTCCTGATGAGGTTATAGGGATGCCTAGCTCCTCAGAAAACAGCAACAAACCCCTAATAATTACACTCTAATAAGAGCAGTTAATTTTGAACAGGGTGAAATAGATTCTCAGACATGGGGTTGGTAAAATTTTAGGGTCTGAGTATATCCCAATGGCACAGAGCCCCAGAGCCACCAGCTTTCCCTGGCTGGAGACAGGAGCTGGAGAGATCATCCCTCAGTGCTGCCAAAGGCCTGATTCCCACCCAGCCCCTCCTTCCCAGTCCCCTTGCTTTTGAAGTTTCATAGCACCCAAAGATCAAAATTCAGGGTACAGAACTACAGCAGAAACTTGGGTTAATGTTTTTCCTCCTTCTGTGGAGGAACATGTGGTGTCTCTGTTTTTTATGGGACATATTTGAAGTTAGCATTTCCGTCTACTTGCCATGCACACCGTATAGGGTCACTTTCACCTATCCCAGTATTTGACAGTCAGGACTTTGCTATTTCTATGAATTTTTGGCTCACCAAACTATTGCTTGCATTAGAAGTTTCTTCAGGCTCTGCTCCTCTTAGGACTATTTATATAGATCCCAGAACCAGAGTTGGTGAGCACTGGAAGTTCTGGGCAGTGCAATGCTGTAAATAAATCTTTTTATATCCTGGATGGGCATGGTTCTGGTTCACCCTACAAGACAGGGGTTCTCTAGGACTCTCCCCAGGCTTGTAGCACCAAGTCTTCATCAGATTTGGTCCTTCAGCTTCTATATTCCAGCCCTGAAGGAGCATCATTAGTGCCTTTACAATGCTCTGGGCATTATCTAGCTTTCTTAAGGCCATCAGCCTGAAGTACTTGGAATATTTCAATAGGGAAAATGGATGTGGGGTTGCTCCTTAGGCTGTGGGTTCTGCTCAATCCATGCAGCCAAACTCCTTTGACTCAAATCTGTTACCTGCCTGAAGGTGCTGCCTGGCTGAGGAAGATACAGGACATTCTCATTCTCTGGCATTTCCACCACTGTGAAACTGCAGTGGAAGCAGAATTATCCCAGTGAGGTTTACACTGATAATCAAGTGAAAAGTGCTGCTAATTTTACAACATTAAGGTAAGAATTGTAGAGTCTCTAAGGAACAGCAGTGATTCAGTTCAGTCCACATAAATACCAGGACATTTGTTTTCCTTCACTAGAAGTGTAAATTGTTTGTTTAACATATGGTCACCTGTGGTGCTTTAAGGCCTCACTTGATATTTTTTGACTTTTGATCTCTCTAACTGGTGGTTTAGTTAAGGGTTTTTTTCCTCTTCAAATGAGAATTTGGGGTCATTCTACGGGACAAAATGTTTAACATGTTTCCTTAGTGTCCTTTGTGTTGTTAAGATGGAGTACACAAAAGAGCAACAAGGTGATCTTATCTTGACCTCTATTCTCATTCAGAAGGCACAGACAAATATCAAATGTTCCTCTATTGCCAAAACAAGGTGGTAAACTTCAAGAAAAAACTTCCTGTTTCTGGTTTTAAGTGCTGAAACCCTCATTACCTGAATAGGAGGGGGCTGTGGTTTTGGTTTTTTTTTCTTTTTTAGCTGAAGAAGAAATTAAATGAACATGGAAAACAGAACTTTCTCCCATAAAATTCTTTATTTCTTGATGAGTAACTCTTTTTTTTTTTTTTTTTTTTGTGGAATTGATAATATCTGGATTCTTTTTGAAGGAAGATTGGGAGCTTTGACATCTAATTTCTTAAAAATTTCTAATTTCTTAAAATTAAGAAAATAATTTAAGAAGTAAAAAAGCAAAATGAAGGAAATGCTGAGAAATGCTCTGAGAAAAATTCTCTGATGTATCACATAAATCTTGTCTTCAATAATTGGATTTTTTTTTTTCTATGTAGAATAATACTGTCTGTGATAGACAAGAGACAGTGGGAGCTGAGATCTGCCAGTCTTGCAAGAGATACTTTCAGCTCTGGCAGAGCCACGTTTTAGTTTGTTAGGCCTTTGCTCTCCTTGATGTCAGTGAGAGTTTCCTACAGCCTTTGTTGGATGCTGGGCTGGAATTAGTCTGCACATGGCATTTCCTTTCAAAGGCAAAGCACACTTTTATTTGCCAGAGTTAACAAACAGCAGCAACAGAGCCCATCCCTAAACAGTTTGGGACTTTAGCTTCTAAATTCCATCTGTTAGACAGAGCAGAGCCACTCCACTGTGTTCTGCAGACCTACTGGCTTTAATTTTAATTGCATTTTAATTCCAGGAGAAATATTACCTGAGTAAAATTTGAGGTGGGACTGATGGAGTCACCCCATAGACAGTGGGAGAATGTTCTTCGCTTCTCAGGCCATAATAGCAGAATTGAATGATGCAATGATAAAAGTCCTTGTATTAATCCAATTCCTGCATATTTTCCTCACTTAGGTGAGTGAAATAACCAACATCTGGCTTTGTACCATCTCAACTGATCTTTTGTTAGTGACAGGTTAAAATTCTCATCAGTAATGCTGTGTCAGTTCTCTAGGGAGAATGTTGTGTTGTGGACAGTTGTACATGGAATTGTGGTTGGAGAGGTTATTGGTGCTTGGGTGGAAGAGAAATGAAACAAAAGGGTTTTGAAGCAGCTACCTCTGCAGCCTGCCTGCCTTTGTGCTGGGGGAGTGGATTTCCTGGGTTTAATGAGCTATGTAAGAAAAGGGAGTTTTATCAAAACCCTCTTTTGCACAGTGACTACTGGGGAGTGCCTTTGGCCCAGCAAGAAATCAGATATTTCAGAGCTGGGGATCTTTTTTGGGATATAGTTTAACAGTGCTGTTCCATCACACCCACTCTGGCAATTTTTGTGACTGGGCAAGTTTTGAGTTGGGGGAAGGGAACAGCTTTCCCATTGGTCATAAAATTCACAGAGTATTTCTTCTGAAGACAATAAAGCTGGGAGAAGGCCTCTTTATTTGCTGTGAAAATCATCACCCTTTCCGGCAATATAACTCCTGAAGAAAAGAGGGAGAAGGAAGAGACAAGACTGCATATCAAAGCAAAGTGAAGTGTTAAAAGGGTCTGTTGCCTCAATATGACAGATAGGCTTCAAAACCTCAGACAATGTAAGCCAGGAAAGGAAAAAAAAACCCACCATCGGACCTCACAACTAGTTTACAAAGCAAAATAAATTAGCATTAGAACCAACCCTGGGCCCTCTTTCAGAGCCTCCTCTCTCAACTTTTCAGGAATATTCTGCAGGCACTGAAACCAGCATCTTTCATAAAATCCAGAAGCTGCCTGAAGATGTCCTAGGATAGGATAGTGTGGGATTACAACCTGGATTCCAGGGTTCAGCAGTGTTTCAGAGGAAGTTATGTCTGTCCTTGGTGACTGGGTGTTACCTTAAATCATCCCAGAAATGTGAAACAACTTCTGGATATGCTCAGTTTCCACCTGCATCTCTTTGTTACTTTAGTATTAAAAAAACTGATGGTAATTTTTGAGTTTATAAAGATACAAACTGACAGAGAGCAGGCCTCAGAGTTTTGTTTAGGACTCTAACTACTTATGTACTTTAAAAGTGTAGGAAAAGTAAGGGGCAGATTCTCCCTGACTTAAGTCAATAATTTCACTGACTTCATTGAAGTTGTGAAGCAAAAGTATTTTTAAATAAGTTTTGAAGACAAATATTATACTGCACATGATGTTCTGTAAAGCTAAATTAAAATACCTCACCAGCCACTGTATTAGAAAATGTGACATAGATCCAATCCTCTATGATATTTCTGCCAGAAACCATGGTGTGATAAGTAGGTGTCCTGGTCCTGTACATTACTGCAAAATTAGGTGCTAAAGGTTTGTGGCACTCAGTGAAATTCTGTGTTTGTATTCTCTGCTGCATCTAGCTCATCTGTTCTTTAATACATTCTCAGATTGTTCATGCTGAAAAAAACAGAATAGAATCATAGAACTGAATTTCAACAGACTCGAATTTTCTCTTGTTTTCAATTTTTAGAATGTTCTGCTATTCTGGAATAAAGCTCATTGGCCAATTCTGTCCTTCCCTTTGCTGGTGTAAACTTTTCTATTCATCTTCATCACACAGAAGGAATTGGACCAGAAGCAGAGCCTTTTTTATTCTCTTTAAGCAATGACTGGGCAGGCAGAAGCACCCAACCTGCAGAAAATGTAGGTGAATTTCTGAGTAGCAAACCAGGGGAAATCCCATTGCCAATGACTGTATAAGTTAAAAGGAAAGTGATTAACTGAGATTTTCACCAGGTGTTGTATGTTCTTTAGCATTCAGCATTTTACAGGAATGACCTCTAAAAAGGCTTGTTCCTCTTCCTTAGGTTTGAGGGAAGATAATTTCTTCCTTCAAAGACTAAGTGTGATATATTTACAGTGCCTTTAGTCAAGATGTTCTCAGTTCTCCTGTCATTAGCAGCAGAAAACTGTCTTTATGTCTGCAGAGTAAATTTGTATTGAAGAAGAATGATAGGAGAGTTGTCATCTACAGGAAAAAATCTCTCCTCTGAATCAGTTCACCTGTTTCAAAACTTGTCCCCACCCTGTTTTATGGTAACATAAGTGCAGATCTTAAGGTGCACTTTCAGCTTTGTGAGCAAATTCTCCTGGGAGTTCACTGCTCAAACTCAGTGTTTTGAGCACACTTTTACCACAGGTGTGTGTTGTTTTCTCACACAGTCATAAAGTCAAGTCTGCTCCTGTGGAAGTGATGACACAGCTCCATAAAAATCCTGAAATCAACAGGATGAGATTTGTAGCTTCTTCTAAGGTGGTTTTAGTCTACTTTCAATGAAAGAATTTGCCTGTAATTATGTCTTGTGTGTGTGTGGAATTACCACCTCACGTTTCTAGCTATGGCTTTGTTCAGTTCTGAGTTCCAATTGCTCCTTGTCCTGGCTGTGCTCACCCTCTCCAAGGGGAAGCTGAAGATTCAGGAGCAAGGCTTAGAGTCTTTTCTCACAGTGTTTGTGGCTGAAAATCCTGAGTACTCAGTGCTTCCTCCTTCAAGTGTTCTGAATCAAAACACATCAGCTTTTTCCTGTATCCTCAGCACCCTGAGGAGTGCAGAGACAGGGTGCTGGATTCTATGTACTCTGATTGAGGATCCAACCCCAATTCCTGCAGTGCCAAGGCAGGGACAGACACTCAGCCATCCTTCAGGATGCATGCAAGCCCCAGCAGGACTTTTCTGCAGGAAATACATTCTAGTAAATCAGTATGATAATGTCACATTAAATAATGAGATCATCCAGAGGTTTCAGGTAACCTCACAAATTTCATTTTACATCAGTTGAACACATGGTTCTACATTGATGTTGTTTTTTAAAGTTACAGGGCAAAATTTGAAGTAATTTCTTCCTTTGTTTCAGGTTAGTTGTGTAGATAACAGTATCAAAAGATCTGGAGGGCATGAGGCAGTGGTAGAAATTGCAATAAAGTGTTTTGTTTGTCATCTGTCAGGACATGAGGCTGCAAAGCACCAGTAAGAAAAGATAACCATGAAATCTCTGGAGATGGGAATGCCACAGATTCAGGACCTTGCTCCTGTAGCTGCTCCAAGCCAGACTGCTCAAAGTGAGTGAACCTTTGGCAAGAATCTCTCCCAGGCTTAAAGGGATGAGATTGCAGGAATGTTTCTTGCACATTTCTGAGAATATCTTGCAAAAAATTACTTGCTTGAATAATTATTGTTTTCACAGTGAAATATTATTTGTAGTATTAATATTGATAATTCGTGCTTTGCAGCATGTAATGAATAAATAACAAAATTTAGTTGTCTAAATTATTTCTGTTGTGATCACCTCAGGTAAGTCTGAGCCTAATTTTTCTCATCATTAAGAACAGTGGTTTGTATCTATTCACAGGGAATAAGAAAAGCTAAGAAATAATGATTCCTTCATTCTTGCAACACCAAACCTTTACTGAAATTCCCAAAGGTTTTGTAAAGAGACAGAAGGATAATGCTTAATGAACAGAGACAGCTTTAAGGATGTAAAAAAATTGGATTTCATCTAAGAAAATAATGAGGGGTTGGATCATGATCCAGCAAACAACATTTGCAGTGAGCCTGGTCACACACCTGAAATCACTGCAACATCTGCATGTACAGAACCAAACTCAGGTGCTTTCCTAGAGCTGACACTGCTGCAAGGGAAAATATTTTAAAATTAATTTATTTTTTGGGAAACCATGAAGGACAATAGTGCCTTTCCTTTTAAACAGCAAAAGAGGATAAGGAGTGAAGGAAGAATAAGGAACCAGCTCCATTGAAACAGCTCTGCTGGCACTGAGCCTGCCTGGCCTAGCAGAAAAACTAAGCTATGTAAGAGGGAAAGAAGCAGCAGGAGAATTCCTTCTCTGGATTTTCCCTAACGCAGCACTCAGTAGCTTTTAAATGTGGCCTTCCCCTGGCCCACGGGCATTTGGGAGGGTCTGTTCCTATGGCATGCTGATTTCTCCAGGGCTGGACACAGATATTCTCAATATCTTGTTAGACCACTCCAGAAAGGAGACACTCCCAGCTCTCCTGTGAATGCTCTGACCTTTGCAGGGTTGAAATTTGGAGAGTTAGAAATCTCTAAGTGCTTCTTGAGCAGCAATTATAATGTGATATTTTATATTATGTATCTATATCTCTATATGTGTGTGCTGGATCAGTTTATCCCATGTCCCACTGTCACAGGGACAGCACAGAGCACATCAGGCTCCCTTGGTGTGATTAGAATCCACAGGAGCACAAAGCAGGTAAGGAAGGGTTGAGGAGCAGAGGCTTTTTTGAGCAAGGGTCCTGCCATCTATAAATACCACAATTAGTGAGCAATTTTTTTGCCCTTGTAAGGATTCCTCAAAAATAAGCTGCATGTTTTTTTTCAAAACAGGCCCTCTTGTTTTTTCTTGGATAATACTCAGCGAAGAACAAATTTTAAAAATACAAACTTTTTTATCCCCCCAAATTCTTATTCACACAGAGCAACAGCCTGTTCTGATTGTTCTGTAGAATTCTGGGGACTCTCCATGAGCTAAAGTTGTGTTCAGCAGGAGTGAGGAGGACTCTGCCCATACAAATCAGATGCATTATTTTAATACAGACAGCTTTTCTGTGCAGTTGCTTTCAATTCTCTAATGTCTGTTTTAAGTAATTGCTTTTCCACCAGAGATTGATTCAGTCCCCTGCTTTGAAGACTTTTATTTACAAGCACGTGTGGAGGGAGGGAAAGGGAAGGAACCTTCCTGGGATGCAACACTGAGATACTGGGAGCATCTCTTTAGGGGAGGAATTGAGCATCCCTAATTTCTACTGATCTCAGTGCGTGTCAAAGCTGCTCAGCACCTCAGAGGATCAAATACCTTCATACAGCAGATTATGCCTCTGTTCTGTTCAGGCAGTTTTCCCTCTTTTTCTTCTCCCCCTTCTTGTTTAATATTTTTTTCATATACAGGGTGCAGACTTTTGTTTAAGGATGCTCAATATTTATATTTTTCTCTCTTGTTCTGCCTCCCAATCAAACAGAACCTTTCCCTCAAGCTTCATGGCTTATTTTTACTGCTTAAATTGAAGAATTGTTTTGTACTCATTGACTCTCACGCAGTAGAGCCTGATCTATGGCTGTATTACCAGGCTGTGTTACCATGAATCTTTGTATTCCTGAATATTCTGAGAGCTGCTACTACAAAGTGAAGCAAAACTTTCCTTATCATCCCTGCTTTTAAAGCATTGGCTCACTGTTTGATCTTGCAGATCTCATTTCAGTGTTCTGAGCTTTGGAGGGGTTGTTTCTGGTAGAAACCCCCTGCTGTGCATATTTTACTTGAACTTTTCCTAGGTACTCCAAAACTTGAGGCAAATAAAGAATAAGTGGTGGTGAATGCAATACTTTGTTTTGTTCCAATTGATAGGACTCCTATTCAGAGCAACTATTGGATATCACAAATTTAAAAAAAACATATCTGAAGTGAGAAGTGAAAGGACATTGCTTTTCATTTCCCACAGGATTAAAGGAACAAAGCAAGAAACATAAGAAATAATCAGCCTAGCATCCAATAATTGAACCAGTATTTAAACTGCTAGCAAAAGAATCCTTCAGAGCAATCAAGATCTTTCTTTATTAATCTGAATCCTTCCCTCTGAACAGAGAACCTGGCAAAAAGCCCCACAAATGCCACAACAACAAGTTAAAACCTCTTCTCAGCACAAAACCCTCCTACCTGTGGAAGTGGATTGCACCGTTTTCCTCATCCACTCATAAGAGCTGTGCCTTTGGCTGTTGGGAGAGATTTGCTGGGCATTAATTGTATCTACAGGCGGTAACCCCGCAGCAGCAGCAGCAGCAGTGGGGTGCAGGGAGCTGTAATCAGCAGAGCTGTAGGAGCCCTGCCCGGGGGACGAGCCATTGATGTGGGCAGCGGGCACGGCGCTGGAAGGGCCTGGGCCATAGGCGCTCCAGTCCTCGCGCTGGGGGCCGTAGTGGGAGCCCCAGGCCGGTGCTGGCTGCCCGTGGGTGTCCAGGGCTGGCACAGGGTGGTATCCCATGTAGTCAGAGTAGGCTGGAGCAGACACGAAGTTTTGCACGGGCAGGTTGTTGCTGGTGCACCTTGCGGATCCCGGATACATGCTGCTGTCTTTATCCAACAGATAGCTCACGTACATGATGCTCACAGCCTGCCTTTGTCTTGCTGGGACATCCTGCTCCTCGCAGGGTTTGTTTGATCTCCCTTCCCCTCCTCTTTCTTTCTCTCTTTTCTAGCCCAGCCTGGCTCTATAAATGACTCCTGCTAGCCCTGATGTCCCTTTACTACACATGATTAACAATGGTTTTACCAGGTGCTGGTAGTAACAGTTTACTAAGGTCCTGCCTGATGTTACAGATAACTGCCTGCCCCAAAATTACATTTGCATTCAAATGAAGGGCTGCCCATGCAGGCAACCCCACCTTGCTGCTAGTTCCAGAGCTTCCTTTCTCACAGATCTTTATGTATTGCCAGCCCCCTTCTTTACTTTGAGAAGGTGGTTTGAAATCTCGTGGTCCTCGAGCAGAGCTGAGTACGCAGTTAAACTGTTCAGGCAGCAGAAGTTGTATTTTTCTTGAGCAGTGCATGTCAGGATCTCACTTCAGGCTCTCAGAGTTACTCAAAGCCTGGTGTCTCCTGGTCCAGTAGTAGTTCTGCTCTAATGTGCTCTGTGTTTTATAAAAGTAAAACCAAAGGAGCAGTTCAGTGTTTAACTGCAGCTCTTACAGAGCTCCTCACATGAGCACTCTTCTTGACTTCAGCTCTTCATCTGTGTGGGAGAGCACTTAGAAACCACAGTAATCCCGGTGATTTTACCATTACAAAGGATACACAAGAAGTCTCATAGTCATTTTGAGCATTTGTTCATACCAATAGTCTTGTTGATGTTAGCAAGCTATTCATGAGCTGGCTGCTTGCCACGGTGATTGAAGTTCTCTATTCTAACCTCCAACGTTCAGAGAAAGGGAATCTGTTATTGAGAGAATGCAGAATTTGTCACTTTCCCTGTGCTTATATCTTAGTTGTGATACTGAAATAAGTGATAGTTTTCCCTGAAGGTTTTTTTTTTGTTCTCATTGCTGTGCTTCTTCACAATAAGTAACACCTTTCCTTGGAAATACGGGAACAAATTATAGCTTTTTAGCTCAGGAAAGCAGTTTCCTAACTTTCAAGAGCAATCTTATGTTTGTGAGTAACAAATCCCTACGAGATCATCTGTAACCAGCAGCAAGGAGAGAAAGTGTGGATTTCTTTTCTTAAACGAGATAGATACCTTAGCATTGTCTCTTAATGGGAGTTTACCCTGTTTTCATTCCTGCTCCTTTAACGATGTGATACTTAATTGCACCTTTATTAATGATCCGACTTGTTAAAAGGAGTTTTTCCTTAAACAGGTGCAAAGTATAATGAGTTTTTTCTTTGTTCAGAGGTGTATTTTTTTTCCCTGAGTCTTTTGCACTTTAACACCATTTCAGCTTCCAGGAGGAAGGAATCACTTTGCACACCTGACAACACCTTTGTTTCCCTTAGTGAGAGAACGGTGTCCTTAGGCTGCATCCACAATGTGCCTCTGAAAAAAGCTCTTTTGACTGATCATTTCAGAAGCACAGCTACCTGCTGGAGTATTTCAGATTCTCCTGCTGTGAACTTGGGTAAAAATTGTGTTCTTTTGCTTGTTTTTGGGGGGCTGATGTTTTGTCGGTGTAATTGCTGAAAGGTATTTTAAAAATCATTAGGTGGTGGGAAGTTGCCAGAAGCTGTTTCTGCTGCTTGAATATGTGAGTTTACTCGCTTGCAATTTGCACATCTGTGACAGCTGGCCACTCAAAACTACCCAGCAGAGCTGCTGGGAAGGACTTCTCAAATCCAGGGAAGTCAGTGATCAGTGGGTCATGGATCTGAACTGCTTAATTCTGCTGCAGCAGCAAAATAAATCACGGTTGTCTAGTTTAGACTTTAGAATTTAGAACTAGACGTCTCTGGACAGACTGCAGTTAAAGTGTGATTTTAATGTAGTGGGATCTTCCTATTTTTTAACTCGAGTGTTTTTCTCCTCAAATTTAGGGCACTGTGGTTGCTCAGTAGCTCTTGAGTGTTGAAATAGTTACAAAGAGAGATACATTACATCTTTTTGTTCTAAGTTGATCTCATTTCCTTTCTTCCTCTTCAAAACTGTTGAAGCCTCATCCTTGTAGGCATTTCAGTGCCTCTCCTGAGTGCAGGTGTAGCAATAAATCAGCCAGAGGAAGAAGCAGCATTTGCTCCTTTACTGGAGCCCTCCAGCTATCTGCAAAATGTTTAAATTAATGTTCTTTCAATGACTTTTCCTGCAGGCTTTATCTACTTGATATAGCCCAACACAGAGCTCTGCAGAAGGGCTGAGTTGGATCTGCCCTTGTGCGGTGTCCAGGAATGTTGGATTCACCAAGCTCCAGCCATGGATTCATTCTCTCCCACTGCAGCATTTTTCCATGAGGAACATTTTGGTCTATTTTCCACAATCGTTTAATTTGTCTTATGGAGCTACTGAAATCAGTGAAATGATGATTATTCCTGTGTGTTAGAAAAATCACATAAAATACCTTTTGATGCTTTCAATAATACATGGGTATAGTGACATGGAAGGAGATTTTTCCTCTTCCATACTGCCTAAAGAAAGGGCTTTACAATCTGGGATGGTTGGACTGACAATGCTTTGCTCCTCTGGCCACATGCTGTGCCCACGAAGCAAGAAACTGCTTCCTTTGGATTCCTTAGTACCCTAAGCTGGTCTGGCTCCAGCAAGCTGTATTGTATTTTATTTTATTTTATTTTTTATTTTTATTTTTATTTTTTATTTTTTATTTTAATTTTATTTTTATTTTATTTTTATTTTTCATTTTATTTTTTCATTTTATTTATTTTTATTTTATTTTTATTTTATTTTTTCATTTTATTATTTTATTTTATTTTATTTTACTGATTAGTCCAAGCTTTTATAATTGACATAATTTCACTCTTACCTATTAGTTAGACCACAGTCACTCGGCTGTGATTGCTGGAGCTATGTGAATAATCACATATTAATATAGTTACTTTAAAATGAAATATTTTCAAGTTCTCAAACGCAAAGTGAATCGAAATGAGAAATCGCCCTGAGTTCTCAAGAGGGAAAAGAACTTTACTGAGATGATCCTAAAACACCTTCACCCTTGGACCTCTCTAAGACACATTTTTCTAGTTCTAAATTTGAATAGTTCCCATCCTCTGAAGCTGGGAAGTGCTGTCCACCAGAGATCCTGGATGGAAAAACATCTCTGAAGGAGCTTTTATCAGGAGGTGTGGGCAGAGACCGAGCAGCAACATTGGGATCCTGCAGTCCACTTTGATTATTCCTCTTCTGCCACATGAATGAGTCTCCAGAACTTTCCTTTGTCATGTCACAAAGCCATGGATGTGCTGAGGTCCCATCCCCAAGTTGACCTGTCTCTCCTTTTACCCACATCCCTGTCCTGGCATGCGGACCCACACATCCCGTCCTCTCATCTACGCACTGACAGAGCTCCAGTAGCTCGGTTTTATTTTTCTGAAGCTTTTCTTTTCCTTTTTGGTCTCCAAAGAGCAGCAGCACCCATTTTTGGAGGTGTGTTCCCGTTCCAAGGCTGATCTCTGACTCCAGTGAAGCAATGGGGACAGCTGCTGGTCAGCTGCCTGCATGGCAAGGAGACCTTTCCAGGTTTGCAGGGATTTAGGGAGATTTCAAAGTTCTCAGCCTGCTCAGTTCTGTTTGGAGCAGGACTCGTGTCAGTCATTTCCAGCTGCAGGAAGCATCAAAGCTCCTGAAGAATCCTGGCTTGGAATTCTGGATATGTTGCAGGGATTTTTGCTCTGCTGTTGGATTAATGGTATCATCTCTCCTTTGAAACCTGGACTAATATGGAACATGCCAAGCTTTTAAATATTAACTTTTACAAGGAATTTTCTGGGCTAAAAGGGTCTGAAAGGTGCTGTAGTACAAAGTGGGATTGCTGAGTGGTGACAAGCTGGGGTGTGAGCAGGCAGGGCTGGGACACTTCTGCCATCCACTGTGCCACTGCACACCAGGGAATGACCTCAGGATGTGATGGCAGTGAGGAGCCAAGAGCAGGACTGTGACATTTTAATCTTGCATTTTCTAAAGAGCAGCTGTGCTTCAAATGTATTTTCTTTGTTAATCAGTGTATATGCTCTTAAAATAATGTCCCCAACTTCCAGCTAACATATACTGACATAAGCGTAGCCTTTAGGATGGTTGCAGTATGCAGCTTTCTCAAAAGAACTCTGACAATACTCCTAGTTCTGAAAGAAAACCTCTCCTTTCCTCACTGTTGTTCTGTGTGCTTTGAATTTTAACACCTTGCAATGCACTGGATCTCCTTGGGCTGTGTGAGTCACGGCCCTGCTGCAATGGGATTGTCAGTGGTGACACTGTGGCAGCTTTCAGTAATTCACATAACCTTCAGTTATTCTCTATATTCATTCTCCAGAACCTTCCCAGAAGTGCAGACAGATCGCAGCCACTCTTTAGTGCCTGCTGCCTCACCTGCCCCTCTGTCTCTTTATGACTCTTCTTGGTTAGGTTCTTTTTCCCCTTGAACTGAAGTTGATGAGAGGGAGACTGTTTTTTCTCTTGTTTCGACTTGGTTATTTATTCTTTTCTTATCAGCATTACGTGGATACAAGGTACAAGGAGCTATGTGCAATAAGATAGAAAGATGTAAAATGGCCAACAAAGATCTTCTTCAAGGTCTTTTATATGTCCATTTACCCAATTAACAGATGCCAACTAAATTATTTTTCTTAGTGACCCAATGACCCAACACTTGTGTGCTGCACTGTGACATTTTCTATCCAATCACCCACTGCTACCCAAAAACCTCTGGAAGAAGAAGATGAAGAAGAAAGAAGAAGGACGATAGACAACACCCTAAATCCTCCATCTTGTCTTCTGTTCTCTAAACTACTTTAATCTCCAAACTTTAACTTTTTCACCCAGTGACATAAGAAACTCTCTAATTTACACATTTACACTCCTAGCTTTTCTATTTAACCTTAACAGTTGTTTTCAGGAAGTTATATGAAATCCAATGTTTTCTTGGATGTCAGAGCCGGGTATCAGAG